TGACCTCAGATTCTCCTCAGTGCCGATAAGAAATAAAAGACAAACTTGAGGTAATCTCGAGCTGTATAGTTGAACTTTGCTTTGAAACAGAGACAGGAAAAAGGAGAAGGTTTAGATGAACATGAGTAAATGTTTGGGACATTATGTTAAGTTCTAAATTAATGTACTGTAACTTGATTCCTTCTCATCCTGCTGGTTGTTAAGAGTGAATGTTCATGGGTTTCCAGCTATATTCTCTGCAGCTGGTGTGAACACAACATTTCAGACATTAGACATTAGTGATTAGTCAGTGGTGCAACTACCACAGAAGACCTCTATGTGATATGGTTTGGTTTTGTTAAAACACTTGCTACTGTCATCTTCTGACTGCTGCTTGTATGATTAAGAGGAAAAAATGATCTCCTCCTCTTGAAAAGTAATTTATGAGAAAAAAATTTTTTTTTTCCAAAAATAAAGGTCACTGAATGACTAAACAGGAGAACCAGTTCAGCTCTTTTAAACTGAAACTACAGTCACTCAATTTGGATTTCCTGTTTCAGGCACCTACATTCACACCACCTCCTTCGAAGTCCTTAACAGGTACCTCATACTTCCTCGCTACGGGCCTAAAGCTGTGCAGACAGCGATGGATGAGGAAACTTTGTGTGTTGAGGACAAATGAGCAATTTCAGTCACTAAAAGATGATTCACTATCAGAGTTGCTGCCGGCAGCGTCTTGGTCCTCCGAGGTCTTCGTTCCTCCGTCGGGCACGGGGGCATCAGGTGTGCTGTGGTCAACAGAGAACAAGTCACATATTGTTTGTCAGTTTATCAGAAAACTGGTAATAACCAGAACAGTAATTTAGAAAACACTCACTCAAGCAGATTGGGATCCAAACCCTCCATGACCATTTTATTCCGTATGGCCATCACCGGAACCCCCTGTGGCACATTAAACATCACATTAAGGCACAAAACTAAACCGTTACGCAGGTAACCACAGCAGCAGTAATAATAACTCACCACTTGAACCATTTTCAGGTATCGGGCATAGCGCGGGTCTTTGGCCACCGTCATGACGTTCTCTGCAGCCGCTTCTGCTTTTTGCGTCGCTGAAGCTTCTGGTGTGGTCTGAGCAGGCTGCAACATGACACATGCACAGAAACGAAGGCAGAGTGAAGCGGTTTAGATGACAGTAGATATCCTGACAGGTTTTACATTTTCATAGTTTAAGATATGTTTTTAAATCAGGTGATACAATTTTGGAAGTACCTGGAAACATACACATTTCATCACTTTGTTTAGGGGCGTAGTGCTACCTGTTTATTTCTTTAAGGGACCATGTACTAAATATATTAGTCACATGAAAGCAAAAGATGCTTTGTATTAGATTTAGCTACTAGCTACTACTGTCCATCTGCAGGCCCTGGGCAGTTAAAAACCAGTGAAATCACCAAATAACAGATATGCACATGATGAAATACCAAATAAATATGTGCATAGACATATAATAAAAAACAAATAGATTTTGCAAAAACAAAAAGAAAATTATAATGAAATTAATTCTCAAAATCCTTTTTTTATCCAAATCATGAGAGGAGAATCTGTGCAAATCTGCAAATCCTTTGGAAGCAAATTCCAAGCTTTATTTTCTCTGTTAGGGAAAGTAGACTGTAAAAAAGTGGTGCCTTGCTCAGGCACGCTACAGTGCCCCCTTGTGGTGGACCCGATCGCTCTGCAAATTTGCTCAGAGCATTTGATAACTTTTTGAAAGGGGAATGCTAACTTAACAGCAACTTGCTCAAAGACATTACAATGTACATGCAACACTCCCAGCAACAAGATCATAAAAAATGATTGGTGAATACACTAAACAGCAACGGTCCTATGATGGAGCCCTGTGGGATCTCATAGTACAGGATTTCAGTGATGATATTTAGCTTAAATAAATCTTCCCCTGTAAGACCATCTCCTTTGGCATTCAGTCATTCATCACACCTTTCTCTACTTAAACAGGTCCCTTTTCCCCTTTTCCAGAGATTTGTTGCCCCCCCCCCTCTCATCTATTCTCTTTTGTGGTAGAATAATGCATGAAGTGTTAACTGTAAAAAG